ATAACTAGTAATATGACAAACAACAGAAGCTAACAAATTTTATGTTATCGAAACATACAAATGAAGCATTAAGTATGTACTATAAAAGTATTAAGAAATCCTCGAGAAATTTATTTTACTAAGATTTTCGAATTTTTATGTATAAGACCAATAATACGTATGTTCAGTGTAACATAGTGTAATAATTCTTTAGATACACTAACACTTAAAATAGGTAACAAGACAGTCTCTAATCTCTATGAATGAAAAGTTAATTGCTAATTGTATCAGCTCTTATATTACTGTACAGTGGCGTACTAACGGGGAGAGGGGTTTGGGAATAACCCCCCTCCCCGAAATTTTTAGTTGATTTAATTTATTACGAGAAAACTAAAATTTTTACTATCTGTAAATTAATTGTATTGTACTTAGATATAACAAATTATCCATTATAATAAAATAAACAGTGTACATTTTAAAATACCTTTATAATATTGTTCTATGTAATTCTTATTATAAATAGTACAGCATACATTATCTAATGTGGGTACCTACGGGAATATGAGTATTTCCATGAAGATATTGTAGATATGGACATAGACGATCGGTGTAATTATTATGACAATCTTTTATCGTCGTCGTAAAACATATTTTATTTTGTGCGATTAATCACTTATAGTATGTTAGCCACTTTAATCTATAATCGACAATCGTTAACATTTTCATGTATTACCGAGACAGTACTTACCTACACGTTATTTTATCAACCATTGAACTATATTATTAACTTAGTGACGAAATTATAATTGCATAGAAACATTACGATATATTGTATATTTGTATTAAAAAGTTTAAGTATATTACAATACAGTATATTTACAATGGATAAGTGTCACGTCATCCAATATGTTAATTAAAAAAATTAAACCCCCCCCCCCCCAAGTTCAGGTCTAAGTACGCCACTGTTACTGTAATTAGTAAATTTTATCATATATTTATAAAAGACCCATATAGATAAAGCTAAATAAGATAATATTATGATATCAAAATTCAATATCTATAAAAAATGTTATGTAGTACGCAATCTAACTTTACAATATTACAATACATTAGAGGTAAGTTAATGAATTTAAAGGCATATTAAAATTTATGTATAATTTATTAAATACTAAATAATTTTTGGATGAATAAAAATAGTTATTATTGAATTGAACCAATAAATTGGACAGTTATAATAATATTTATGATTGTATGCGTCATTATGTAGAGGTATTTTAGTGTTATAATATAAACCAGTAACACAATATAAATTACACTGATGTCATTTATCAGTAACTAATAAGTTTTTCACATGATTATAATATAATATTTATAGGTATACTCATGTATTATATCCGTGGTTATCCATCGAATTATTATTGCTTAATTTATGTTCTCTTATACAATTATCTGTACCAATAAAACGTATAGATATGTAAATGTTTCTGTAGTTTTCGCTTATAGATGAAGACATAAAATAATCATCATTAGGGCTCAAAACTTAATGCGCTTAAAAAGTATTAAACATGCACACACTTATGCGTTTATAATAGTACAAATATGCTTTTAAAACATGCACTTAGTCTATTTTCTACTCACAATTTTCATAAATACAAATTTAATTTCTTTTTTTTTAAATATTTTTATATTTTATAATTTGTAATAAATATTTATTAATGAAAACGGGAAATTTTATGTCAACAAGCATAACGAAAACATGAAACAATAAAATCTAGAAAAAATCCTTAAAATAAAATATACATTATAAAGTATTTTTTTTATGGTCAAATTTTAAAATTGTATTATAAACATATCATTAATTATAAAATATACTCTGAAAATTACAGTCACTAAATATGCAAATATAATATGCACTATAAACTTTTAATATTATTTTCGTGAAATTAATTTCAAGCTCGTTTAATAATAAATTTAATAGCCTAAAAAAACATGCAAATACAATAACTTCTGAGCTGTAGTCATCATGATCACTATTAATGGTATACAAAGAGTTACTCAGTACAATAGCCTAAGCATTTTTTTAAGACATAATATTATTATTATTATAGTTTATAATTAATATGATTAAGAAAAACTACAACAATTTTTTTCGTTACTATTTTGATTTTTTTAATAATTATAAAAATACTTACTGTTTGAAAAATTGTTTATTAGTTTATTACCATTTAATAGTGCCTATATTATTTAATTTTTGTTTTTTATTAAAATAAAAGAATTTTTAATTATTTCATATTAATTAGGTATTTGTTCTTTAATATAATATGTTATAACTTATTTATTTTATTTTATTATTTATAATTATTATAACTATTATAATATATTAACGTATTTGTCTATAATAGTTGTTGGCACTTATCACGGTTAATAGGGTAAACAATTAGCAGTGCATGTAATGATATCTGATAAATCATTGATTATGAATCATAATTTATGATTTATTAATGGATAGAAAAAGATTGAGTACTTACGATTGATCTTTTTCACAACCCGATTGAGCACAAAAATAACGTGACGTTGTCACTTTGAACCATAGAATATTAAATAAGATACATTTTAACATAAATATTTATAAATAAATATCTTTTATTGGTTTTTAATCACATACATATTATTACATATTAAACCCAGGTTTGCTGTGTCAATTAGTTAAGTATACCATTCATAATAGAAAAAAAAGAAAAATTTGAATTCTTTCCTTAAGTACTTATTTCCAACTTTGAATAAGTATTTAAGTATGTCGTCAACATTTTTAAATTCAGAGTAGTCCTGATAAACCTATACAAAGAAGTTAATTTTTTGGTTTTTAAGTTATTTTCAACTGTTGTGGGTGTTTTTTGACTAATATGTTAGTTACTTATTACTTATTAGTTATTAGTAATCTAAACAACATACACGTATTAATAAAAGTCTGACTACGTTGTACACAATATTAATTTGTTATCGTGTTAATCGGATCGTCAAAGAGGTCGACCGATAACGACCATACTCAATGGAGTATCATCAACATTAGTAATAAAAATGTTGATATGGTTTTAATCAACATCTCTGACAACTTAACTAATACAAACTAAAAAGGTTATGCTCACATTATGTATAATTATTTTTATTGATAATATTTATCAGATCATTATCATTAAAATCAAAATGTAGGTAAATAGGTACTTATTTTATGATTATTTAAAATTAATTAAAACCACTCGAAAAAATTAATTGGAATGTTATTAATTACGTCAAGTTTTATTACAGTTGAAGTACACAATTAATAATGCAATCGTAGGTTAATTTTAATTTAATCTATTTGACAACTTTAGATAAAACATTTCACTTCTGCATATAATATAAAATGATGAACATAATGCTCTCATTTATTAGTATTCATCAAAAGTTACTCTTTGAATATTTTCAATAAACTATTGGTGATCAATAATTTACATTTGCTGTACGTTATTCAACACGAACAATTAATAATAATTCATCACAGTTCAATTATGAGTAAGTTTTAATAATTTATTAATTTAAATATAGTATAATAAATTAGAAAATCATATTTTTTTCAAATTTTCATATCATACATATTATACTAGTTATATAATCATGTACTCATTAAGTAGTCTATCAAAACATCGTACTCATAAAAGTTTTATTTCTAATTTAAGCCAATTATTACAAATTACAATATAATAACTCACAATTTTCATTATAAAATATCATAAAAAACGTCTGTGACATCACTGTCATCATTTAGCTTAATAATAATATAATAATAACAGTGGTTCAGGTGAAAATATTTTGTAGTAACAGATTTGTTACTTATAATTTTTTTTTAAATTAAAACATTGTTTTTGTTTGATTTTCTCAAAAGTATATTTTGAGATAGTAATATAGCAAACACAGATAAATAGTCAAAAATTTAAACTTAAATCAACATACTAATGCAGTTTTAAAAAAAATTCTATTGCATACTATTTTTGTCTGAAATAAATAAATAATTATTTAGAGAAATGAACAAATTTGGATAAAACGGATATAAATATATTCTAAGCCACGGTTACGGATCAAAATTATTACTAAATCGTTACATATTCATAGTTAATTGTAAGTCAATAAATTCTTACATAAAAACATAATAAAAAAAAAATCCGAACAAAATAATATTATTTGTTATTTTAGTGTATATTCAAACAATCAAGGACTTTAAGGCAATTTGGATTCAATTATTTTATAAAAGCGTATGATAAATATTTAAAATGTATCAATAAGTCAGAAGATTTTAAAGCTACTTCAAAGTTAAGATTCAGTAAGAGTACTGTTTATACCTAAAATATCGAAAACATCAATCTTTAAAAAATAACAACGAAGTTAAAATGATTATATCTTTATAATTTAATGATTCAATTAAAACTCTAACTTCGGTTAAGTCCAATTAAAATTCGGTTTAATATTTGATCGATAAATGTATTGAATATATTGTGATAGTTGTGTATTTTAATATTTTGATGGGAAATATATGAATAACGTAAAAGTGTGACACGTGATTAATATTATGTTATCGACACTTCACGTGTCATTTGGTTGTGTTTAAATTTGATATCGACTACTGTCGTATAGTATAGAGCTACATATGTAATCGAAATCGTTTTTAAGTTCAAACAACGTATTAATAACAGCGAACACGTAATTAAATAAGCGCGTTCGCTGATAATTCTTTTTATTTGAAGATGAAAATATTCTTGATTTAAAGTATAACTGCGATTACTAAAAATATATATATATATATATATCTCGTTGACAGAGTAACGGGTTAAGAGTTAATAAAATCCGTTACCGAAATAATAATAACGCAGTCGAATCGATGGAAAAAATTTTCGCTATCATTATAAACGACTCGAAGACAAGCGGATTTGTAATAACCGCTCGCTATTTTTTTATTATTTATTTATTTTTTTTCTGTTACTCTGCAGACGCTAAGACCGAAATGATAGACAGCGGTCAACCGGAAATCAACACGCAGCGGCACGTGTACCAAGTGGACGCGCTGTCGGCCAACAACAACGTTCCGGCCCGGCGGCCGGTCGCGAAGAAACCGCACAAGAAAAAACGCAAGTGCACCGACTACGTGCGGAAGACCATACCGTCCATCGACTGGCTGTTCCTCAACTACCGGTGGTCCAAGGACTTCGCGGAGGACACGATGGCCGGCATCGCGGTGGCCGTGCTGAACATCCCGCAGGGCATGGCCTACTCGATCCTGGGCAACGTCGAGCCGACCGTCGGGCTGTACATGGCCGTGTTTCCGGTGTTGGTGTACAGCCTGCTGGGCACGTCCCGTCACATATCGCTGGGCGTGCTGTCCGTCCTGTGCCTGATGACCGGAAAGGTGGTGACCACGTACGCCACTGACGACTCGGCGGCCGACGGCAGCGGCGGCGGCGGTGGCGGTTACACGGCCATCCAGGTGGCGACCGCCGTCACGATGGTGGTCGGGCTCGTGCAACTGCTCATGTACGTGTTCCGGCTCGGGCTGCTGTGCACCGTGCTGTCCGAGACGCTGGTCAGCGGCTTCACCGCGTCCGTGGCCGTCATTGTGTTCACGTCGCAGCTGAAGGAGCTGCTGGGCGTGGACGTGGCCCGGCGGCACGGGCTCATGCAGGTGCCGAACACGTTCTACGATTTCGCCGACCGCTTCCACACGGTCAACTGGGCGACCACCGCGGTGTCCGTCATCACCGTCACCGTCCTGTTGGTGTACGACAGGTACCTGAAGGAGAGGATCAACAGCAAGCTGTGCATGCCGCTTCCGATCGAACTGATCATCACGGTCTTCGCCACCGTGCTGTTCCAAGTGACCACGATCGCCCAGGACTACGACATGGTCCAGGTAAGCGTCGAACCACTATACTTATTCGCTCGTTCGCGTGGCCGCGTCATGATGACCGTCGACGAGCGGCCGACACGTTTTTCTTTCTTTTCCGAAATCGGTCGATAACCGCCCCGAACACTCTACACGACAATATATTTGCCAAATCGTGGTGGGTTTTTATCGTCGAACACCTACGCTTTTTTCTGCGTTTCACTCGGTCAGATATATATATTAGGTACCTACAGTGATACAAGTGTTTTTAAACGTAAATACTAAACAGAAAAAATCGCATACAATGAACTCGAGACCCACACATATTATATTATCGTTAAATCTATTTAGACTAAACGAGATCTTAAGTACCGCACTCATTTCTTACACGAATATATAAGTCGTACGGGTTTTCAAGCCTTAATAACTACAACTATTGCACAAGACTATTATAATCGCTACGTTCACCGTGAACTATTACCTCGGTAAAATTTGATTATATCACCGATTATTATTATTGTCGTCGACAACTACAACTGTAACTATCGTCGACACCGACGTGAATTCGTCAGAGAAAAACGGGTTAACTTTTAAAACGCGACGACGATAATCATCATTATTAGGTGTGATAATCTCATCATTCGATGACATTGCAGATGGGCGAAATCAAATCGGGCCTGCCGCCGTTCGAGGTGCCGCCCGTCAGCCTGTTCTCGGTCGTGTTGGTGGACGCCTGCGTGATCGCGCTGGTCGCGTACTCGATCACCATGTCGCTGGCGCTGCTCGTGTCGGAAAAGCTCAAGTACCCGTTGGACGCCAACCAAGAGCTCCTCGCCCAGGGCCTGGGCAACGTGATCGGTTCGTTCTTCTCGTGCCTGCCGTGCGGCGCGTCGCCGTCGCGCAGCGCCTCGCAGCAGACGGTCGGCGGCAAGACCCAGATGGCCAGCATCGTGTCCGCGGCCATCATAGTGATCGTGCTTCTCTGGGTCGGCGTCGTCTTCGAACCGCTGCCCAGGTGCGTGCTGTCCAGCATCATCGTGGTGGCGCTCAAGGGGCTGCTGATGCAGGCGCTCAACTTCCCGGAGATATGGCGCAAGTCCAAGACCGACGGTGTCGTGTGGATAGTCACGTACGTCACCGTCATAATGTTGGACATCGACTCGGGGCTGCTGATCGGCGTGGTCGTGTCGCTGCTGTTCGTGTTCGTCAAGGGCGTGCTGAACGAAGTGCAAGTGCTCGGCCGGTTGCCGGACACCGACCTCTATGTCCGGCTGGACCTGTACGGCGACGCCGTCGAAATACCGGACGTCAAGATCGTCCGGTACGCCGGCAGCCTGAACGTGATCAACAGGTACATGTTCAAGAGGAAGCTGATCGAGGCGACAGCGGCGGCGGACGGCGGTGACGACGACGCGACGGCGCAGATGACGGCCGTGACCGTGGTGGCCGACGGCAAGAGCCCCCCGCCCGCCGTCCACCGGCGTCCCACGGCTCGGTGCGTGGTCATCGACATGGCCGCGCTCCAGTACGCCGACGCGGCCGGACTGAAAATGATGTCGCAGTCGGTCGAGTCGCTCATGTCCGACGGACTGTGCGTGTACCTGGCCGCCGTGCCGGAAAACTCGTTGGAGTTTATCCGTTGCAACGACGGCATGAAAAAGTCAGTGCGATTCTTCCCGACCGTGCACGACGCGGTCGTCTACCACCAGTGCAACAGCAAAAAGATCCAAGACTCGACGTTTGACGGGCAACAGCCGTCCAAAACTCCTATTTGACTCTAAGCGCTCGTCGCGAAGCGCAGATCATTTTTTTTTCCGTTTAAAAAATAACTGTAAATTTTTTATTTTTTATATTTTATTTTTTTTTTTTTAACTGTGACATTGAAATATATTCAATCGACGCTATTACGTTATAATAGGCGGCCAACGGTATTTATGTATAGCAAAAAATATATTTTTTTAAATTTTTTTGCTAAAAACAACGACGCAAGTTTTAAAACCATATTTTTTTTCATTTTTTTTTTCGGTGCCATGTATTCGTAACTACCTATTATTATTTTTATATGTATACCTAACTGTCTATCGACTGGGATAAATGCATATATATACGTGTATTATTATTCTATATAGTATCTATAAGATTATTATTTTTTTACTTGATAATGTTAAAATATTGTTTTGTAACTATTGTGATGAATTGATGTAAAATATTGCTATAGTTTAAGTTTTAATATAATATGTTGTTATTATTATTATTATTATTATTTTTTTAATATGCTGTTTTGTAATTTATAATTCGTATGTTATAAGTATCCCGTGAAGTTATTATTTACTAACATTACTATGATATCATAAATAATCACATATTGGAAGAAGTATGAAAATCAAGTGTGATGTGTGTGTTTATTATAATGATGTAATAGATGAATTTTTTTAAGTTGTAATATATAGTTTTTATAATATAATATAATAATATAATCATTTTAAATATTATGATAATGAATTTGTTAAAATTTTGTTGTAATTAATGCAAAATATATTTTATATATCATATATACATTTTGTTGTGCAAAATTAATGCGTTATAAGATATTTATAATAAAATACAAACAAAAAGTGCAATACAATTATTATTCAAAAAAATAATAATTTTCGATGAGATTCAAGCCCCCACCACATCAATTATTATGACTGTTAGTGTACAGGGCAATAGCTCTATGGTATTATTGTAATACAACTACTTCATGTTACCTTCACGATGATAGAATAATTCAACAAATTAATAATTTTACATCACAAAATATTTATATTAGCACTTTATAAGCAATATATAACTTTTTAAATATATTGGCTTTTTTGTGCTACTTTAAGTTTTAATTTTGATTTGATTGGCGTTTTTTTTTCCATTTATATTAATACTCGTATAAATAATACAATATTTGTTTGTGAATAAAAATCTTAGAAATATAATAAAAGTTAAATACATAAATTGTTTTTACAGCAAAAACTTAAAAATATAAAAATTATATGTGTGATTTATAATGGTATTTTATAATCATTTTAAGTTTTAATGTTGAAAACATTAAATATTTAAACGAAAATAACGATTTTATAATTATTTTTTTGTTAAGCGATTTTATTCATATACGAGTACACTTGAAATATTTCACAATTTTATAAAATATTTATTTTTTTTAAATGTCTTATGAAATTATCTAATAACAGTTATCATATAATATTTGAGTTTTGTTTCGGCAAAAATTAATTCAACCTATCATGTTTTTACTGATTGAAAATAAATTACTAATCGTAATGTAAATAATATTATGTGATAAAATATCGTTAGGAATATAGGCCGTTTTCACTTGAAATCGTTTTTCGTGCGTAATGATTATTGAATTAAAATTTAACACATCTATTACAGTGACCTATTAAATAACAGGATTCGATCAAAACCTACAACTATAGGTATGTGGCGTAGCGATTTCTCTGGGTTTTATTATTGAGATATTTACATGCAACTATTATTATTACTATTATATTAAATATTATTTAAAATACTGAAAGTTCAAAAAATTTGTCACAGGTATCGCAATGTCAACGGCGGTTCAAAAATAATATTATTATATCTAGTTTTTATTTGAACAAAATATGCTGCAAATATATATACAACACGAAAAAAAAAGAAAAATATATTGCACAATTTTCGTGACAATTAATTCTGTGATCGATTGCACGTTGCGGTAGCGTCAACAGCGCTATTTTGCTTGTTCAGAATTTAAATGTGCAAAAGAGGTGCTAAATCCAATGACCAAAGTAGACGCGACAGTGTGTGCAGTACGGGACATGGGTTCAAGCCGAGGCAAAAGGGCCGTTTGTGAAATTATAAAACAGTAATTTGTTTTGTTGTGCGCAGTAATAACTGTCGACGAAACAGCGTTATAGGAATGCGGTGGCCTGCGTATATAACGCGACCCCATGTGTATGTGTGTTATGCAGCCGTATATATGCAAAAACCTCCCCATAAATAAACAACCAGCTCGTATACCTATTAAACTTACTCCTGCAAAATGTTAGTAACAAAAAAAAAAGAATGTATGAACATGTGTATGCGCGTGTCTCTGTATAAACTTTGGCACCCACATAAAGCTACCCCGAGCACATTTTATTTTTTTGCATACGATATTTTTACAGAAACCGTGAAATGTTTCTAGCAACGTATTCTGTATCGTTGAACATTATTATTTCAGTCAATGTACATAAAAAAAAAAAAATTAAATAAAATCTATTTTTTTAATTTTTTTTTCATTAATATCAACTAAATATAATCAGTCGAGTTTCAATTTTATCTATAAGAAAAATAATATTTGAAGAAAGTAAATATTGTGAGGATTATTTTACCTTTCAATCATAAAATTTACAAGTGTATCTTCTATTAAAGAAAGAAAATTATTAATTATTACATTATATGCAAAACAGTTTGTTCATTCTCCTTAATATATTTTAAAGTTAACTATATAAGTTTCTATAGTTGGTGATAAAAACTGGTAAAAAAGATTTTTTTACGAATAAAAATATTTGATAAAATCATTTTAAATATAAATATGATAACTGTAAATCTCAACTGATTTGGCTACTTATTGAAACACTCAAATGGCATGTGGATATTTTATCATATAAAAAAATATATAAAGAAATATATACGACAATGCAAAATTTGTATAGCGTTAAAACTAATTCATAGTTGCTTCGAGTTATATTTTTTTTGTTTATTTAAACAATGAGTCAAAAATGTATTTCATATTAATAAAAAAAATAATTTATTTTGAATACTTAAAAATTAAATTTTTATATCATAATTAACATAGAAAAATATTTATTTTTTTTTTAACTGTTTGAAATGTTTATAGGATGTATTATTTAGAACTGGCAGTATTCCAATTTCATTAAACCAAGAACTTATATTTTATAAATTAAAGTTTTTTTTCTAAATTTAGGTGATGATGAAACGAACTTTTTATTTAAATTTGTCCATACAAATCAAAATTATCGTTTTTCGCATTTCAGAAATAAAAAAAATATGTAGTTACGTATATCAGTATAAGTACAAAAAAATGAACAAATAAAAGTTAGTTTAGTATAAATACGCTTAAGGCTAAAAGTCAGTATAATCAGTATAACTTATAAGAGGAAAGCAAAAACAATTATGGTTTAATAAATAAATGCGATACGGCAAGAATACTACACTATACTATTTTGAAAATAATACTGAACGACCTATGCGAATTTGCTTGTGACTTGTCCTTTACAAAATATATTAAAACAAACGAAAACCGTAAAAGTTGTTAAATGTTTTACTAATTTCATATGACAACGTTATTTTGATTTTGTTTTTGTTTGTTAAACGTTTCAACATAAACATTTATTATGTTTTAATGAGTTTATAAGTTTAAAGTTTAAATAGTTTTATAATAAAAGTATAAATAATTAAAAACTATGAAATATTTTTATTAAATATTGATTAAATAAAATAAATCATGTAGACAAATAAAATTTATCTAAGTGAATTAACTTTTACTTTTTATTTACTTTTCTTGTATTAATAAATAAATTTATTAAATTAATTGTTCAACTTCCAATTTAATTTCAAAGATATTTCAATTTCCATATTAGATTATAGTGTTTAAATAGACCTGAAACAATTAAAACATTAAAATAGTTTTAATTGGTTTTTATAACTTATTAGTTAAAAAAATAGAAACATGGAAACTATTATTTACATTTTTAACTAAAATTTGATTTAACATATCTAGATTAGGGAAAACTGATCATCAATTTTTCTATGTAACGATTCCTCAATATTCGCAGTTTTAGGCAAACCAAAATTTAAACGGTAAGTATTGACCAAAGTTTTGGTGGAAATAAAAATTGATTTTTTTACTGATTGTTATCGTTATGCATTAGTTTCAATATAGTTTCGACCGCGTCAAACCGACTTTGAATTTTATTTATTATTACAAATATATAATATAAATTACAATTGATTAATTTCAATATAAAATAATTACTTATAATAGCACTCTGTGTGCTGAAACATTTTAAATCATAATAAATAAAAAAAAATTCAATATAGTAATAATAATCTAAAAGCCATATAGCCAGTTTATTTTCCAAAGTTGGTATATATATTTTTCGCTAATAAATTGAGTTTCATCTCTTTAGAACATCTTTAAGAAAGGCACATACTAAATTTTTTTTGAAAACGTTTTGTGATAAATGAAAGAACGAATGGGTGGTAGGTGGAAACATATCGTTAAATGTATTAAATAATTGCTCCTTTTTCAAAATGTAACAATTTTCAAATCTGGATTTTCATTTATTTATTTATTATTTTCATCAGAAATTTCATTAAAAGTTTAATTATTTTTACATCAACTTCTTCAGTATTGAAGTCAATACAAGAAAATTAAAGCAAATACAAGTGAAACATGATTTTTAGAGCTCCTTCACTTAATGAAACGTGTATAATGTATAAATATATAACATAATATATTTGATTAAATATAAATTTGATCATAAATATTTTTGAAATTCCAGCTTCCATTCAACTGTAAAGTTAAGTTCTTTTGATACCTAATATATAATTTTATTTAGTCGTAATGACTCGTAAATAATACAATTTTGTTTGGTTTATAAATTGATTTTATTGATGGTTTATACTTTATAGTTTAAACTTTAAACATACATCAAAAATTATATAATATTAACTTAGAACTATGATTATTATTATAGACAGGTTTATATTTTGATTGTTTTTTCATTAGACACCAACAATTTTAACTATAAGATCTATGAACGTGCAATAACTTTTGGAAATGCATAAAATAATAAATTCTAAAGTAGTTTATCATACTATATATTGCATAAAGTATATTTTAAAAACAAAAAACATATTCTAAGTTACTTTATTCTGACTTTATTTACAAATAATTTTTTTTATATTTTATATTATCGATT